TCTGTCGCCGACCTTCAGATGGTTTCTGCCACTGGTCTCCAGCTCGACTGCCAGTGGGTTTCCATCTTTTTCGTCGCCGGCCTCCTGATGGTTCCGCTGCTGTCCTCTAGTGTTCTTGGCCCTCCGGCTTTTCCCCCTCCGCCCTCCCGGCTCGTTGCTGCCCACCCTGCTTGTCTCTGCTCTCTGCAGGCTGGGCGGAGCCGATCAGGAGACACGCGCACGCTGGCAGCTGTGGCCCATCGGCTCATCAGCCGGGCCCTGCTTGTATACTGGCGTCTCACAGAAGACCGATGCCAGAGGATTGTGATACCTACCTCGGGGTACAGTCAGGCCACGAGCTGCTACACCGTGCGGAGCATTCCTAGCATTCTTGATGTTCTCTAGTTTCGAGTTTATTGTATGTGTTTCTCTGGCTGTTTCCGGTTCTCCTCCTCGGCTCCAGCACTCGGCACACCTCCAAACACTCCAGCGTTTGTCACCCACGGGAATTCACGACCACCGACACCTTCACCGGGAGACCCTTCACAAGAGCACCGGACCCCTGCGCACCACCCCGTTTTCCCTCGTCACGGCTCCCTCTCTGCACCGGGAAAAACCCCACGGACCAAGGCACTCTCAGGCACCGGCTCTTCGTGCACCACCCTCGGGACCCCCCTTCCTCGGATCACGACACCGAAGACTCCACTCCTCCCTCTCCACGACTGACATCCCTGCACCAGATCCCACCACCGGGTTATTCCCCACGACCGGCACCCCTTCACCGGACTTTGTTTCTGCCTCCTGGTGCCCATCACTCCACCACCTTCCCTAATAAATCCTGTTTCCTTTATCCCTTCTCCCCGTCTCCCTTTTCGTTTGGGTCCACCCGCACTGTCATTGAGCAAGAACCATCACAGAATCTTTTGGTTGTTTTTTTTTTTTTTTTTAACTTTGCTTTTCTTTTCATTTACGGTATGACCCAGAGCATGACAGTAGGCAAGAATACTGGATACAGAGAAAATCCAAAACAATTTTCTTTTTCTAAATTGTTATCCTGCAGCCAATAGTACGCTTGTTTTGTTTTATGCACAAATTTAAGATACACACAAAGAAAGGTCAAATGAATTGCACCTACTCTAAATTAATTAAACTTTCAATTTACCAAACATGCCCTAGCTCTGAATTTCAGCTTTCTGATTCACTGCAATTCTTTTTCTTCATACTCACCACGGTCCATGATTATATCAAAACAGAGTCCTCAGTCAGACAGTGTTCACATTAATCATTTGGTTTCATATTGATCCATTATTCCAGTAGATCATCTCTGTTGTCCCAGATCTATAAAAATGATATTACATCACATCTAATGTGACGGCCTGTTCTTGTCAATTTACTCATTCGTTCATTTCCTCCAACTGATTGGCCTTGAACTTGGATTTCTAAGTCACTGACCTTCTCTCTGTAGTGACTGTTTTGCTTGTCTGTCAGCCTCTACGTGCCCTTGAGAATGAGCCCACACAAACAGGATGACTTTGAAATATGGATGCAAAACACATTCAGTTGAATAGCTGATTAAAGTCTTATAGATTTTTTTGGCCACTGGGAGAAACATGTTAGACAACAGTGGTCTGTTCACAAATGCAGTAGACATGGAGCAACATTAGCAATCATTTGTAGTTGTGTTTGTGTCCTGTTGCTAAATGCTCCACTGTCTTCACCAGCTAACTTTTTATTTGTGCTATTTGGTGCAGAGCATCTAAAGTGCAATGGATCTTCAGAACTTTTTCACAGAAAACAACTGCCTGGTGATAAAGAGCTGCAGAATGCACCAGAACAGTAAAGCGGTGGGCCAAAGAAGCAAAACAGCTGAAACACTACCAACAGGAGAACAATGTTCAGACTGACAAGCTAGCTGCAGGGCAGAAGAGTAGGACCACTGGGGGATGACGGCCCGAAGGTGAATCAGGAGAAAGAACCCCTTCTGAGGGACGGAGAAACAAGGGAGAGGTCTGCTGACTTGAAAATGGTGATTGTGTCAGCTGACCATGGCGGCGACCTCAGCGTCACATTGCTTGACCCAGGAACAGACAATGGAACAGCAGAGGCACAACTTAGTGCGGAAATGTTCTGGAAAGTAAAACACAAAGTTCAGGAACCAAACTAATTACATTTTTTCAATTTTCACATAGACTCAGTGGTTGTAAAAACTCCTAATTCATATTTTGAGAGAGAAAAAAGGGCAAAGGGCTGCAGGGTGGCGCAGTTGGTAGCACTGTTGCCTCGCAGCAAGAAGGTCGCCGGTTCGCGTCCCGAACACCGGACACCGGAACCTCTGCGTGGAGTTTGCATGTTCTCCCCGTGCAGTGTGGGTTCTCTCCGGCTTCCTCCCACACAGTTCAAAAACATGCCGAGGTTAATTGACCTGCTCCTGTCTGAAGTGTTGTTTTGTATATTAGCAGTGTTATTTTTCTTAGTTAAAATCATCAGATTTTTTCATGACATTATTGGAGAGCACAAATACACACATTCTAAATACTGAGGGGAACATATTGTCTGTGTCTGTGTCGCTACAGTACCATATTTATACTTGTACGGTTTAGTGATAATGAACTTAATCTTGTCTGCAGTGCAGCATGTGTAGTCATGCTAACAGGACATTTGTTGAAAGCAGAATTACTGCATTTTATGTCTCGTCCCACCAGTGACGTTTTTGCACTTCTATGATGAAGGTGTATTGTACATTACATTGGAGGTACGACTGGCTTGGCTGAACATCTACCATGGCTAATAATGGCTTTTTATTCATTCTTTGTAAACTGGTTGATCTGGTCAGACAGGTCACTGTGTGGTTTGTGTGCTGTGCATGAGTACCTGTTCCACACGGAAGTGTTGGTTTTATATAAGACCTAATCCTGGCTCACTGTGACACACACACAGAGACGAGGAACTGTTTGCCATGGGAGTTACATAACTTTCATAAAGCCTTTTTTAAACCGTGATAATCTGTGTTTTGTGTCAGTGACAGCCTGCATTCACTCCCGCCGAATTTACACTCGACAACATAATTACAAAAGCCTGTTAATGTAGATTTTAGCGCTCAGTGTACCTCAAAGGCTGCAGCTGTTACGTGCTGAGCAATCAGTCAACTAAAATAAACCAGGTTGCATGAAATATTTAAGATGTTCCTCTATAGTCCGGGCAGCGCATGACATGTCACTTTCTATTACGTTCCTTCTGTAACGGAAGTTACTCTTCAATACATTATTTACTGACTGCAGCAGGACTGAATGAAGTCACTGTGTGAGCCCAGAGCTGTGGCCCACAGCTCCTCACAACACCAGGTAGGTCATCCAGCTTTGGTCTGCAGGTGTTCTCTTTGAAAGAGTTACCTTATATTACTATAAATAATGTGTGTTCACCCAAACAGAGAAATGTCTTTTTTTTTCACAGCACACATGTTGGCTTCTGACAGCATAAAAAGTTAGTATTGCTAATATTATGAACAATGCTCTGTTCTGTTCAGGGTTCTAAATTAAAGAGCTGGACACAGTATTGTCTGCTGACTAAGTTGGACGTACCTGGAATGACTTCTTCCAGTTGGAAACAAAATCAGTTTTTGCTCTTTCCATTATGAATTATTAATTCATGGAGGGCTTATATTTCTAAAATGTCCACTAACTACAAAAGTGAGCTTTATTTTAGCGATGACATCACAATGTGAAGTCTGTGGGTCCAGTGGGAACCCATGGCTGAATCCACTGGGTAATGGACAACACAATGCTATAAAACATCTTTAGTCTCATGCACCAGATGAGCCTTTTTTTTTTTTTTTAAATGACAGAAGTTCCTAAAAATGCGTGTATCCTTGTATTTAAAGACAGTCTCTGGTTATTAATTAAAACCCCTAAAAACTCTTGTCTGTGAACTTTTTTCCATTTAAATAATTCCTTCCTGCATTACTATGGCTTAGCTATAACTCTACATCTTTGCTCCCTCTAGAAAATAAAGATCTATGTAGTCCCTGTGTCTCTTTTCAACTATACCTCTCGACTTGCTGCAGCTCAAGCACACCAGCTCACCCTGTCTCTGCTGTAAAACTACTCTGTGCTACATCATGGCAACAGAGAGTCCCACCCAACAAGCTGACAGCGCTGGTTCCTTAATTTATTTTTTCACATATAATACACGCTGTGATCAAAATCCAGTTTTGTACTTTGTTGATGTGTCCATACAGTGTGTTCGACACGCTGGAGGACACATCATTAACGAAGCAATCCATCAACACCATAGCTGAGCATGAAACTGCAGTGCACCAATGACTGTCACAAATAGATGAATTTGGACATATAGGATGTCATACATAATAAAATTAAAGGCCAATTCATGCCTGCAAGGTAACATCTGACAATAATTTCGAGTCCATGAGGGTCCACATGGAGCCTTAAATTTGTGACACTGCAAATGTACTGAAGCTCAAAACAACGAGGAGCAAAGGCTGCGCGAGGAGACTGTTCATCATCGACATGTTTAGAATTCATGAGAGCTGTAAAAGTAGTCACTGCTGGACTTTGGAGGTGCTGTGATTTGTACCACTGATGTTCCCAAACATGGTTGAAAGCTCCAGATCCTCCAGAAATCCTGTGGTTGGCACACCTCAAGAATAAGAATGACAAGGTGCTACAGCCCAGTCTGTCACCAGCTGTTATTTCTTGTAAAAAAGTACAAAGTCACAGTCTTTTAGAAATACTGAACAGCATCCTGCGTGTTTTTCTGTGTTTGATACGAGGGGCATTGTAACTGCCTGCATTGAAAACTGTTGCGTCCCTGTTGTAGCATCAATAGAGCTGTGTGCACGTTGGCTGCAGAGACTTTCTGTATCATTATTCTTCCTCAGAGTCAGTTTCGGGTCAAATTACTACAATAATACAATATATCATTGCGTAGAATAAAGTAGTTTAAGAGTGTCTTGTTTAAGAGTTGCAGGTGAGTTGGTGTGCTTGAGCTTCAGCGAGTGGGAATGGGTGGGGTCTTTAGGTCTGCATATCCTACAGAAAACAACAGTGTAGTTACATTAAAGCTATTTAAGGCAGGAGATTATTTTCATGAAGAAAAAAAATGTAACTTTGATCAAGAGAGATGAGTTTTAGCTGTGAAATCAATAACCACAGTAAAAAATTTATAAATGCTTTATAAATCTTCAACTTTTACCTTATTTTTAGGTTATACTTAGGTTTTAATCTGATTACTGTACACAGAGAGCTAAGATTCACCAGTGTCAAATTCCTTGTTTGCGTGCACAAACTTGGCCAGCAAAGTTGATTGTGGTTGTGATGCTCTGCAGCTTTATTCCAGAGTGACGGAACTCTCTTGAATGAGTTAAACATCTTTGTTTGAACACGTGACCTATGACGTTCCAGGAAGTGTGGGAGAGACCGTAGAGCAGAAATCAAACAGCACAGGCTGTACAGCGACGAAACTACTCTGATGTAAGGATCCTGGACCTGAAGACGCGTTTTAGTAAAAAAAAATTCTTGTTGATTTCAAAGGCTTTTCATACAATTCTAGGAATCTTGAGGATTTTCTTCTGATAAGTTAAGTGCAGCCTGTGAAACAACGCTAGCTAGCATCAACACAAGGGTCGAATCAGGGGAATGGGGCTCAGTGAGCAGGTTATCAGCTGATGTACAGCCGTGTCCTCCACTGGAGACACTACCGCTGCTTTTCTACATATTAATGCGCTCACACTTGATTGTTCTCGGCTGCTACTGTACCGTTAGCCCCCCTGACCGGTCCTCCGTGCCGCTTTGCTTGTGATGGCGTGGCAGTAGCTCCGTCTTTGTCTGTGTGAGGACTGACAGTGATGTTCGGAGAACACGGACGTTAAAAGTCACCAAGAGGAACCGGAGGAGGATAAACAGCCTCCCCAGAGTCCACTGACAGCCGGCTGACCTCTCCTCTTGTCCAGGCGTCCGAGCGGCGAGCAGCAGCTGAACATGGAAGATGAGGTATTCGAGCAGATCGTGTCCGTGTTCAACGCGCTGGTGTCGTGGGTCGCAGCCGGTGCCATGGTGTTCGGAGGGGTGGTTCCCTACATCCCTCAGTACAGAGACATCCGCCGGACCCAGAATGCAGAGGGCTTCTCCACCTACGTGTGCCTGGTCCTCCTGGTGGCCAATATCCTGAGGATCCTCTTCAGGTAGCAAACTGTCCCCTCAAACCAGCCTCTAGTACATGGTGACAGAACTCCATTTAAAAACAGCCTAGTTTAGTATTATTTTGATTATCAGCCAAATTATTTAGGGTATGGAACAAGACTTAGCATGTTTAGATGAATTAATGCGATATTCTCTGAAATTTGGCTTAAAAGAAATCCTCTTAGGAGCTTCCTTGGTGTCGTAGCGTCAAATCTGGTTCCCATTTGTTGCTGCCAACTGCTGATGACAAACACAAACAGATGAGCCGCTTATGCAAGTTCATGGAGTGAAAGCTGTTTGGCTGATGAAATGTAAGACAAATTAAATAGTGTCTGGTTTTCAGTTGTAGCTGGATTACTAATCAGGTCAAAGTCACATGGATCAGTGACAAACATGTTGTGTGAAACCCTGCTGAAGTGTGGATTCTCCTGGACTAAGCAGTTTGCTTAAGATGTTTTTAAGACACAACACTGAAGCAGCTTCCAGCTTAATTATTGTTTCCCAACTAATGTGTCCGTACTTGACAGACAGAAAAAGATGCATGTGATATTGAAATCTTTGGTCACTGATTAAACCCCTAAACAACTGAATCCTGTGTATCACAGTTACATGATGAGAAGTTTTTCAATGAAAATAATCCCTTCTTGCCTTAGAATGGCCTAAATGCAACTCGACACTATTGCATCCTCTAGAATGTGCAGATCTATGAAGTCCCTGCCTCTCTCTCCACCCATCTCTTAGCTGCTTGAAGCTACTCGAGCACACCAGCTCACCTACGACACTGTAAAACTGCTCTACACTGCATAACATGTTGGAGTCATTCAGCCATGCATATTTAATCTGGTAACCATTCCTGAGGAAGAATAATGAGAAAGTCCCACCCTGCAAGTTGACAAGATTTAAGTTTGTTATGTTCAAGAACTCTGAATCCTTTTATTTGGAGACTGTCAGTACGCTGCAGCTTCAAGGTGGAAATACACAGCCATGGTGATAACTGCTTATTTTGCTCATGATGTGTCTTCCAGCATTTAAAAAAACACCATATGGACATGTTATCGAGATAAAAGAACTTGATTTCATTGGAGGGGATCTTTAAGTTCACACATCTTTCTTCTCCCTCAGATTCGGCCGCTACTTTGAGACTCTGCTGCTGTGGCAGAGCATCATCATGATCGGCACGATGCTCATCATGCTGAACCTGTGCACCGACGTCCGCATGGCTGCTGAACTCAACACCAAGAGACGCTCCTTCATAGGTCAGAAACCCTTTGCAGTGCCTCTTTATAGTGCAGATACTGCAAGTAAATGTATGAATGAATGTGTGAAAGGTTAATGACTGTTAGCTGTGACCTGTGTGCAGGATGCATTTTTTTATTGCGATCTTTCTGAACTCTAATCGGCCTTGTAAACGAATACTGGCTTTATATTACACCTCAATGCAAACCACAAACTGTATAGGCTTCACTAAAGCTTTTTCATCAATTTAGCTTGTACATGACTTGTAATTAGTTGTTTAAAATCCATCTAATGTTTAAGCATAAGGCCGTCACAAAAGTCATATCATATCAAATTTTGGTGGGCAGTTACAATAAGTACCTTATTTATTGATCTTAATACTGATAATACAAGTTATTTGTGATACTACAAGTTGTAAAGTAAGTGGGCAAATGTAGGTTTAGAGTTTTAGAAGGACACTTTGTTGCTATTCTGTTAAATATAACAGAAAATCTGTCAGTAGAGGTTCTAAATGTGGCCACTGGAATCCTAAATGAGCACAGTTAAATGAAACAGAGCTCTCTCTCTGTGCTTGTAAAACCCACAGTTTGTCTTTAATAACAGCCCCATAAAGTTACCCAGTAACCTACATGTTGATACACTTGAACCTGGTGTTCCACATTCATCCTTTTGTATTGGGACAAGGAGCAGCCCTCTGTTGTTTGATAAGTCATTCATCAGAACCACGTGCTCTGTGCAGTGCCAGACCTACTGTGCATTCCTGCTGCTGGATTGGATGATCAGCGGTGCTTCCCGTCCCTGTGGCAGTCTGAGGAGAGACGAGGGGAGGAGACATGAGTAATGAGTGCTGATGGCTGTGGGCTGAATGTCAGTGTATCTGAATGGATTCACAGGGAAACCGCTGGCTGAACCAGTCAGAACAATGCTAAATATGCTCATATCTAAGAGGAAACAGTCTTGATAACCAGTGTGAGTCCAGAAACAAGTGCAGCACAGCAAAAAGACAGTGTTCTCCACATAGTTTCATGGCCTTCAAGGATATTCATGCTGCTCAAATGCAGCAAAAGATCCAATAAAAAGTCAGCGTTTTCTTACAAATACAGAGAGAACAATACACAGCCTGTGATGTTCATGTTATACCTTTTAGGCTCATTAAATATTGCTGTCACAGACTCACCCCACAAAACCTAGAACAGTTTTAATATACTTAAATATGTTTAAAAAGCATGTAGAGACGAATTCCGTAGCTTTTAGCAGAACTGCTTCATCTGGTGTTATATAATTTGACATGAAGCTGTTGTCTTATTTTTGTTTCAGAAGAAATTAAAATCTTCAAATTTTAGGCAACAGAAAACTTTTAAAAATCTGATTCTGGGCCCATTTGTTCAGAAAGTCTAATGTTAATCAGAATGATCCGGATTTGGAAATTCTGGGTTTTGATATCCAGGATAACTTAATCCTTTGTACTTTTTGGCTGGTTTTTCAGTGTATCATTGGATTGATTCACTCTTGATCCAGACACAATTTTTTAAAGATTACCTAATCCAGATTACCACGAATGATTGTGTCATTCCAATAATATGTAGTTTTCCTGGCAGCTAACATTAAATGCATTAGTTCTATTTGATATAGCAGTTGTTTGGGGACTATTCTACATGAACAAAATCCCTTTTTTTTTCTTTTTTTTTTTTGGAATGCATTACTTTACCTAATTAACTGCTGTAAAAGTTAAACAAACCAAGTGCAAAATATAGACAACTGTATATGTTCTCCATGATACATAGGTTGTTATATTTGAATCCATCCTTCTGCAGGGATCAGGATAGTCCTGATTTTTGGATCACCGGTATTCCAATCCTACTAAAACAGTTTGAACAACTCATGCTGAAAGTTGATCGGGCTCAAAAAGCATCTAATCCGATTTCAGAATCATTTTCTTCTTTCCGACAACCCATCTTCAAGAGTTGGATTCTATCCAATCGTCCAAATCCGATCAGATTACTTCTGTCCAGCAGGGCCTGGTCTTAACTCAGTTTTGACTAAACTATGTTGTTACTGTATTTGCTTTGCTATAACCAGGACCGCTGCTATAGCCACACCAGCTTAGCTAAAAGAATGAAAGCAGTGCAAAGACCAAACTCCAGCCACCAGCACCTCTAAAGCTCACAACTAACACATGATGTTATGTTAAAATAGCAAGTTGTGGTTTTATTCTGTGCAATAACTTCCTCAAGTCTTGTCATCACTGTAAAAAAAAAAAAAAATACAGTTATTGTGTTTTAAAATAAGTATCTCTCAAAACTTCCATCTAACCTGCTGTGTTAGGACTGTAGGACTGTGGTTTAATCTGCTCACAGTAACCTGGCAACATAAGTAAACAGTCATAATTCTGGTTGGTGAACAAACATACACGTCCTTACCTTCCTCCAGCTGAGTCTTGTTGAGTTTTAATCTCTCAGAAGCGAAGCAAAGTCGGCACTCTTCTACTGTTAAATCTTAATTTGTCAAATTAATTTATTTTGGAACATTGGTAAGTTATTTAAATATACTTGCAGTAACATGTACTGCACTGAGGGGAAGGTTCTCTAAAAATACTTTTCTCTCACATGAAAGTTTGATTCAGTTTAGTTTTCTATATACAAAGCACCAAATCACCACATATGTCTCCTCACGTTGCATAGTGAGGTCTAAACCTTACAATAGTTTGTTATCAAGAGAAATCCAACAAGCCCTCTGAGCAAACACTTGGGACACAGTTGGAGGGGAAAAAAAACAAAAAACCTCTGACAGAGCCGGGCTCAAGATCGGCAGAAAGAAAGGCAGTAAGATGACAGAGGCCATTATGTGTGTGTGCTTTTTAAAGTAAAATATAAATTATGTCTGTTAGAAGACCCAAATGGCTTTCTCTCTAATCAATATTAAAATAGCACAAACCACAAAGAAGACAGTTGTGTACTTCATACACTGTCTGCTTATGGGGGGTCCATGAGTCACTGGGGTCACATTGCAGAACAAAACCGTCCAGGCCTTATTGTGAGTGCAGCAAAAGCTGTTGTGAGGGATATTGCTAGACACAGTGAATGTGAAAAAAATAAAATACTAGGAAGCCAAGGTTTTTGCAAACCAATAATTTACACCAGATCTAGCTCTGACAGTCATGTGAAAAAACATACACTGCTCAAAAAACAGTTATTAACAATAACTAATATCCAGAAGCAGATTCTGCAGGTGAGAACTCTGCTGCCCTTCTGTGGTCTTGTGCATCAAATGATCTGGAATCAGGGATCTAACTAATCAGGACAGTGTCACAGTTACCCACCAGGTTCATGACACACCACGGGTTATCTGTAGCTTTGCTGAAAAAGAAAAACCAAAAGAAAACCAAGCTTTTTTTTCTTTTCTCTGTTTTTTTTTTTTTTCTCTTTCTTTTGTCTTCATTTATCTTTGTGTCTGTAGCAACAGACAGTAAGGACGAGGAGATCAGACTCCCTAAGAGGCTCTTTCTGGGTATGTACACAACTTACTGTGTCTGCCATGAAACACCAGTTGTAGTTCATCTGCCTCTTCCTCTCCATCCCTGTGTGTCTCATGCATGATGATGATGATGATGACCCAGCTTGGCTCTACTTGCAGCCCAGCTACCATCAACTAACACCATCTCTAACATGTTCATACAAAGCATGAGTCCCTTTCACCTGCATGTAGGTCCTGTTGTTTGCATCTGTGTTTTTGAGTCGTGGAACTTTTTTTTTTTTTAATGCCATGTTGTTTTAACTGCATGTTAAACTAAACATCCTCAGTGCAAAATGATTGATGAGCTCTCCTTGAGAAGTCTGTGTGATTTTTGCATGTTTTATTAGTGCAGTCATTTGCACACGTGGACAAAATAGTTGGTAGCCCTCGGTTAATGAGAGAAAAACCCACAAAGCTCACAGAAATAACGTGAATCTGACAAAAGTAATAATAAATAAAAATTCAATGAAAATTAACCAATGAAAATCAGACATTGCTTTTGAACCGCGGTTCAACAGAATTATTTTAAAAAATGAACTCAAGAAACAAGCCTGGACTAAAATGATGGTTCCCCTCGAAAAGACAGAAAATAATGTGACCACAGGGACACGTTCAATCAAGGTGTGTCGTCTAATTAGCATCACAGGTGTCTGCAAACTTGTAACCAGTCAGTTGACCTATTTATAGGGTTACAGGTGGTCACTGTGCTGTTTGGTGACATGGTGTGGACCACACTGAACATGGACCAGAGGAAGCCAAGGAGAGAGTTGTCTCAGGAGATTAGAAAGAAAATTATAGACAAGCATGTTAAAGGTAAAGGCTGAAATAATTCTGTTAAACCACAGCTCAAAAGCAATGTCTAATTTTCGCTGGTTAATTTTCATAGAATTTTAATTTATTATTACTTTTATCAGATTCAAGTTATTTCTGTGACCATTGTGGGTTTTTCGTTCATTAACTGAGGGGTACCAACAATTTTGTCCATGTGTGTGTAAATGACACGACAGTGTAGGAACAAATTTAAAATCATGTGTTCTGAACTCACGTAGAGTAGCCTTTACTTCGAGTGATTTATTGCAGACTAACGTGTTGTTTAGTCACTCACAGGCATCTTGTAGTGCTAATGTTTCTCACTTTACTGCTAATGTTTTTGCAATTTGAAATGCAAAAATTAATCTCAAACTTAATGTGGTTTTGTGTGTGAGTAATGACCCTTAAACTGCTGCATTCTTGTTTTATTCTGCACTGATTTGTGAATGTAAAAGCACCTTTTCTAATGGCTGATTGATGCTAAGTGAAATGCTAATGACTTCTAATGTTGTTGTAGTGTTGTCCTCTAACTGGCTTTGACAAAATGTTTTGAACTACACTTAGTTTCAGCATAATGCCTCTATCATGGATATAAGAAATCTGTGTGTGTGTGTGTGTGTGTGTGTGTTTCTCTCTCTGTTTGTGTGTGTGTGTGTGTGTGGGGTTGTGGCTATGAACAAAGACAATGTCTGTAATAATCAATAGTTTTAATTAGTAGTCAAACTCTGGACATTTTGCATAAAAGGATCGACAAATTATCAAATCCTCATCAAAGCTATGGACAGAACAAAACCAACTGCACAACTTTAAAAGGCAGTAAAACATGAAAAATGCTCAGCTGTAACTTATTACTAATGTAATAATTATCAAACTACGTTTTACTGTTGCAGCCATTTCAGGTGAAGCTCATTCAAAACTATCTTATACAGGGCTGATTACTTCGTTAATTAAAGTAGTGACTGTTGGTTTTGTGAAAATTCATAAAACAATAAGAATCCCAGTTATTGTTCACAGTGCTTGTTTTGTCCAGAACAACAGTTTAAACAAATTAAAACGAAATATTATTAAAACAAGGAAAAGCAAAAACAGCAAATCCTCATATTTCAGAAATGTAGAACCATAAAAAAAAGCATTTCTGCAAAGAAATTACTTGTTAAATATCAAAATAATTGCCAGTGACTTCACTTAATCAACTAATCAAGGAATTGACTCATTTCAAGAACTCTGGCTCCATTTTCCTACACAGTTGGATGAAAACTAACCGATATTTGTTGTTTAATAAAAAAGTATTTCCTCCTGTAACATGAAAAGAAAATACTGAAGTAATGTACAAGTACCATACATAAATGTATTTAGTTACTTTCCATCACCGATAAAACCTCCTTCAGTGAGCCGCTGTCGATTCACGACTTCATTACCGTGAACTCAGTGTAAATCGTGTTGCTTGGTCCTGATGGTGTCGACGTCCTGCAACATGATCTGACCATCAGTGTTAATCTGCAGCCGAGCTTTCTCTCCCATTCCTACTTATTTACTCCTGTTTGATTAACAGTGGTTGACTCCCTGCAGCGCCCACATACTATAAGAGACAATTTCATTGTCTGTTTAAAAATGAAGCTTCATATTTTTTCGATGCATGATTTTCGATCTTTAGCATAAACAGATTGAATTGGGGCTGAGAGGCTCAGATCGACACTGTAAGTGGGGAAGTAGGAAAAAAATCTTGAGAGTCTAATGCATTGTTGATTTTGGTATTTTTTTTATTGAATTTGTTTGCAGTAAGACAAGCACAGAGTAACACCAGTCTGGACTGTTTGACTTTTAGTTGCCCAGTCACAGGGTTAAAAAAAACAAAAAATCAAAAAAGAGAAGAGGTCTGCTGCTGTAACTGCTGACTGCAGGTTCAAACTGTCTAAACGTTCCACTTTAGTGGCCACACCCAAAGATAATATTAACACCAACCGTGGCTCTGTTTTATTCAAGCGTCCCAGTCGGCCTGCACACATAACACACAGACCCTAAGTTAATCATAGGCACCGGAAATTCAATTAATTATGGCTGTGTTTTTCAATTGTGACACCTATAAATATCATCTGGTTTATTAAGTTTGGCTTGAGTTGCAGCTCACTGTAGTGTTTAATCCTATTGCAAGACCTGTTGTGGGTTCTGAAGTGGTTTACAGCTGATTTAGGAGCCTTTGTCAGGTTTACTGAAAGCAGACCTTTGCTTAGACTGCATGCCAAATAGAACTGTTTCTGTTTTGTAAAGGCAAGGCTTCACATGACCTGGACAAACAGAAACATGGACGTCGTGCTGCATTGTCAGCTGTTCAATACTATAGATGCAGTTTATTTCCTGGAGAGCAGAGCACGACCAGTCAGCATACAGTAAAGACAATGAGTCCATGTTACCTTATCTGACCGACATGTGAGCCTTTTTCTGTCATTTGTGACCATTTGGCAAAAAAAAAAAAGTACATTAGACTTTAGTAGCAGACACCCCAATTAGTAAACCTCATAAAAAGTTGAATTTTTAATCTCCACTCTTATCATTTTGGAGATTTTCCTTTTGGTTGCACAAAGCTCTTTTAGTTCCACCTAGAATTCCACTAAAACTGTTGTGTATGGTGTGTTCCAGCAATACAGTCCACAAAAGAAGATGCAAATGTTATTTAAAAAAAGAAAAATAAAAAAGGACACTTGTTGTTGAAGGTTAAATGACAGAAAAAGCCCAAAAGATGAATATGTCGTGCACATTGTATACAATCAAGTAAACACTTTGGAAGTAGCAGCATGACTGAGGAAAGGGCTGTTGGTGGTGATGTGGGCACTAGATGGCACTAAGAAACAATATATGCATGAAGGCACACTTGGCTCAGTGTGTGACAAATTCTCCAGCTGGGCTTCTCTAATGCAAACTAGACGGCTTGCTATTAAAGTGTTATTCCGTACCCTTTTGTTAAATGTTTTCAATCATCTTCAAAAAGCAGGACAGCATTGTGACTCCATGTGGGTCAGTCTGTTTCTGGAATCAGGATGATGTTGCCACGACTTCCGTACCCAGGTGTGCTGCTGCTGCTGGCTCGCTTTACTCGTATATGAGAGCTGCCTTTGCCGGGCCAGCTTCTATGAATGATCATCGATCAGCGAGCTCTGCCAAGCATCATTAGAGCTGACAGAAGGCCATGTTCTTTGATTGCAGCTCTGCTGGTCTGCGTCTGCTCATTGATCAGCTAGCGACAATATCAAGGGGTAAGCATGTCGTAGTGGTGTATCACTGATAGACGGAAAACACACGGGTGGAGGGAGGAGGAAAGATGGATGTCAGCTCAGTGGAAAAGCAAGTTAGGAGGTAACTCACAGTGTGACATAAAGCACCAAACTGTTGTTGGTGTGCGGCCATCAGGTGGATGAGCTCCACATCGTAGCTCTGTGCAGTGACTCACCATTGTGTTTAGTCAGCAGGATTAATTCTCAACCTGTACATTTCTCTGATTGTCCAGCGTGTTCCCTTTGTGTTCTCTGAGCTGTAATCGTAGTGCATATTTGTTCTCATAATAGCACAGCATCATTATCGCACCAGGCGCTTCCATCAAACAGCTGGACATTTGTACCCAGAAAGAAAAGCACAATGCAACAGACTTTTAATAGAACATCCTAAGATTACCAAATAAGGCCGCGTTACCGATCTGACTAGCTGTGAACATTTCATGTCGAGCCATTGTTCCTCTTAATGTCTAATTTGGAAGCTGTGAAAACGTTGTGTAACAGAGAGGTACAAGAAACGCCTGCAGTGGCTCAGTCACCATCGCACAATCACCACATCTGTCTCGTACAGTATGCCTTTTGCGTGGTTTCCAAACAGGATAAATCCCGGTGTAATAGCAGCTCAGCGTGATTTAAGCAGACGACAGCCTACTGCAATCCTTTAAGGAGATTTAAAGATCAGATCATTTGACTGTGTTGGACTCACAAATGCTGCTGATCACTCAGGTGGAGGTAAAAGAGTTGCAAGGAAAAAGTTGGATGAAATATCCGTAGAAGTCATCGTGACAGTGACAGCAGGGAAAGTTTCACTTTGTCTGTGTGCTTTAGCCAAACTTTTTTCTTTTTTTTTTTAGTTATTTTGAGAACCTGAGGGGAAAAAAAACACTGATTGGATTTTTCCAAATCTACCGCAGCATA